GTAGCAGAATTATCATTACTTCTCGGCATACTGACGTGGCAGATATATAGGTGGTGAAAGCTCTTTGATTGAATTTAAACTCTTAGATCAAGAAGAGAGCTGGGAACTCTTCTCAGCGTTGATCAAATCTTCTTCGGAAACTATGAATGAGAGATTTCCTTCAATAGAATTGGAAGCTGTCTCTAGGAACATAGTAAAAAGATGTGGCGGCTTGCCATTAGCAATTGAGGTTGCGGTGGGCATGTTGCGGCAGAGAAGAAGAAATAAATATGAATGGAATAAGGCGCTTTACAGCTTGAGCACTAGTTCTGAAAATAATTGTTCAAAAATCTTGTCTTTGAGCTACAAAGATTTACATTCTGACTTGAGGCCTTTTTTTCTCTACTTTGGGCTCTTCCCCGAAGATGAAGAAATTTCTAGGTTTGAGTTGGTCAAGGCTTGGGTTTCGGAGAAATTGATCCCGGTTGACGGAAATCGAAATCCTGATGACGTTGGGGCTGATAAATTAGAAATGTTAAGTGACAGAAATTTAATCCAAGTTTCTAAGAGAAATTTGGATGGAAGCGTAAGAAGTTGTCGCATTCATGATCTTCTACGTGTTTTTTGCATTGAAATGGCCAAGGAGAACAACTTCTTTTGTACATCCCATAATATACACCCTGATTCTTTTTCAAGGCTCCGTGGACTTACCATTGACAACACTAGTCAATATCCTTTTTCAAATTCTAAAACTCCAAAATTTCGTACCTTGTTCTGTTTCGGTAACTCAAGAGAAGAACGTTCTTTGATTCCTAATGAGATAGGAGATCTGAGCAGCTTGACTTACCTTAATTTGAGTGGGAGATTTGAAAGGATGCCTGCAACCATAAGGAAACTCAAGAAATTGGTGACATTGGATATTCAACAAGCCGATTTTTATTGTGATTTGCCAAGAACTATTTTCAAGATGAAGCATTTGAAGCATTTACTCTTAGGCAATGATAAAATGTTTGAGTCTAACACATGCTCAAATTTGAATGTCAGAAGTGAGGTGTATTTACCGAACATAGAAACTTTAGATTATGTGTCTGGTACCATTTTGAAAGCTAGCTCATTACAAAAACTCTCCAACTTGAGAAAGCTGCGTTTATATGAGATTAATGACCAACATATAAATGTAATATCTGGTAAAACACCCATATCGAAGAAGCTCCAAGAATTAGAGTTGTGGTTCACTCAGAAATTTAAGAGGTTAAACCTGTCCCACTATGACCTTCTTGCTGAGTTGTGTCTGGCAATTGAATCTAATTTTCCATTCACGTTAGACACAATTAAATTCCCTCCAAAACTTATCAACCTTGCCCTTATGGGGATGAAATTCACTGAGGATCCAATGAAGATACTAAAGGAACTACCCAGATCAGAGATCCTTACATTGGAATATTGTGAATATGAAGGGTCATTCACGCTGGATTTTTCAGGAGCAAGCAGCTTTCCAGAGCTTCAAGTGTTGTCAATTGAAGGAACAGAAATTCCAGAATTGATTGTGGATCAAACAGGGATGCCAAAGCTTTACAAGTTTGTGTGCAACCAAGAAGACTTAATTGTTTCCGATAGACTACGTGAAATAATGGTGGAGCCTTGAAGTCAGACCACTGTTCAAGAGGTTAGTGTGCTTTTTGTAGTTCTTATTATGGTTTATACTGTGTCTTCCTTGTTTTCTTCTTTCCTCACAATAAAATATTGAAAATACTCTTTTCTATTCTGTAAAATATTGTTGTGCTATAAATTTAAAATAATCCAAAATATTCGTTTATGCAAATTCATAATTCAAACACAAAGCTTAATAATTTAGCCCATGTTTGATCTACATTATTATCTCATTAAAATGAAAATATGATCGTTATCCATCACATTAACATTTAAATTCAAATTTTCTATCTCTTGTGTGGACCCCAATAACGACTATATTTTTCATTCTCATTCTATCATAATTTTTAATCTCATATTGGGACAGATTTTTGACATGGAAGATTATCTAATTTGAAGATGATTTCTGAAGCAAAATTGTAGCCCTTTAAGTTAGTTTTCCAACCCATTTTGAATCACCTTAATCGGACATCGGACGAGAAAGATATAATCAAAATATTTAAAGCTGTCCGGCCTGTCTGCAACTTTCGGTCGACCTACCGGTCTACCGAAAGTATCACCAGTCGATCGAAGTGTCAGCCGAAATCCCAACGGTTTGATTTCCAACGGCTATATTACCATTTCGGTCGACCGAAAGTTACTGTTTACTTAACCGAAAATTCCTGGAGCTTGTTTTTCTTGCTCTATAAAT